GCCCTTCAGGATAATCATGAAGGCCGAGTTGCCCTTCAGGATAATCATGAAGGCCAAGTTGCCCTTCAGGATAATCATGAAGGCCAAGTTGCCCTTCAGGAAATTCATGAAGTCCAACTTGCTCTTTCGGATTTTGCCTTATATTCTTCTCAGGATTTATTATACTAAGCCGCGCGGTTAGCTTACTCTTATAAAGGTAAGTTCAGTGTGCCCAGCCCAGCCAGTTCAAACTTCATTGGCACATATTTCATATCTCCTACAATTGGGATTGTTGTATATGGCTGCCCTTGCACTTGAACACCCTGCAATCCCCTATAGAAGTCCTTTAGAAGCTGTGTCCTGACGAGGGGCAGGCGCGTGAAGCTCTGCAAAGAGCTGCTTTCTGCCCTGCACTCCTCCAAAAAAGGTGGCTTCTGTGCTGTGATGGTTTGTCCTCTAGCGGGGTATAATGGTAGATGGAGCCAGAAGCTTCCTTTGCAAGCTTGTTCATCACCACAGCGTGTGTGAGCTATACGCTGCGGTTGCAAAAACACTTTCTCCTATATGACTGGAAGCTGAGCGATTTTTTTCCAACACGAAGATGCATAAGATGTGCTAGATTCACCATGGTGCCCACCTGCATGTGCAGTCTTGGTCTGCGCGCTTGAAACATATACGCTCGACTGGGCTTGTTATAGAGCTTTGCGCAGTCTAACCTACTGGATGCTGGTTATATGTGTCACAGGGCCTTTGAACCTGAATTATAAGTATATATATATGGATCGCTTTTGTGTATGAAGTGTGGTTTCTTCGTTCTCTGTTTCGTATAGTTGTCCTTCCCCCAGAGATGGCGATGGCCACACGAGCCATGGAGTCCAAGTGCTTTAGCACTTCAACCCTTGAAGATGGCGTAGAAGCTGTTGCAGAACACCCTTGGCTAACAGTACCGTCTGGGGACGTAGCTGCTATGAAGGAAGAAATGCGCAAGTTGCAGGACATGTTTGTTCACGCTCATGTTTTGGGAAGTGGGCTTATAATAACCTTATATAACATATCCTATGGTGTGTATATTGCAGGACATGAAAGCCAGACTACTTGCGCAAGAAGCCCAAGTGGAGTCCGAAGAGCTTCTTGCTCCGATCCCCGAGCAACCCAAGCCACACGTGTGTGATGACGCAAACGATGATGACGACATGGGATTGGATGACCAGGCTTTGAAGGAGGTACGCATGGTTTTGCGCTGTTTCCCTTAAAAACCGAAATCATGTATAGAAGCCTATATAGCACGAAATCAAAAATGCCATGAAATTTGTATCTATCCCCTTGCATGGAACAGGCCCTTCTCAGATCTTGCTCTACAGCCACAACGGTCCCTGCAAGCAACTACGGTGAGGGTGCTCCTGAAGTCCCGCTCGAGGTGTCTTGAGTGCTATATATATATATTATAATACCATATCGCTGTCCCTGCCTGTTGATTGGCAAGCCCAGCTTGCAGTTTCACCCTCATAGTTTCATTGCCAAATTTGCTGAGGAGGAGCCCGGCAGCCCAAAGCGTTGGGTCATGGACCTCTTGGACTTCGATCCCTATAGCGATGAGTTGCCCAGCCCAAGTTCCCATGGTGTACTGACGGATGCCTACATGGATGAGAAGGCTAGCCCGGATGACACGTCCTCTACTAGATCCCCGGCGCCAACAAGTACTATGTATCCGCGGGATGCTTCCTCGTCGGACGATAGTCCCCAACCCCCTGGCGCAGACTCACGTGATAGCCAAACCGCGTCCCCCTCGCTATCCACAAATGTGGCAAAGGCGCTTGATGAGTTGTCCCGCCAGTCTGCCATGAAACGGCTTGGCAGGTTGATGAGGCCACGTGTTGATGGCTCGTTGCTGGTGCCCAAGGAGTTGGTGGATCAGTACAAGGACCCCAACACCAAAGAAAAGGTCATTGCGGAGTTCATCGGTTGTGGTGGCGTGAAGGATCCGAAGCCTCAACCTGCAATGAGCCCACTACAATATAGATGAGCCGAGGGGCCTTCATTTTACGTGTAGTGGTATATATAGATTAATCATAGGCTTTATATGCATATATATAGTAATGGCCCACATCCTGATTGAATTTGCCAGTTTTAATTTTGCAGGAGAAGTTTGTGGAGAAGACCCTCAAACGAATCCGTCGCCGAGAAACTGAAAAGGAGCTTTGGGTTGAGGGCGAGTTCGTGACGGAGCAGGAGATGGCTGAAGAACTCCATCTGAGCCCTCCAAGGATTGCGGCGATAAAGGAGGAGTGCCAGAAGCATAAAGGCCACGTCAGGCCCATCAGCACTAATAGCAGCGAGAGTGATAGAGTGAGCCTCATGACATATATCCCTATAGTAAGCCCTATATAACCATAAGCCCTAAACCCTAAACCCTGAGATTTTGGGTAAGAGAGAGAGAGAGAGAGAGTGCGAGGGAGAGAGAGGGGCCTCGAAAACGAGAGAGAGAAGGGGAGACTCAAAATGGGAGGAGCGAGGGGGCTCAAAAAGGGCAGGTGGAGAAAGGGGCCAATGTGGGAATTTGGGTGTGAGAGATATATGAGAAAGAGAAATAGAGGTGTGTGCGTGTGTCTGTGTGTGAGTGGGAGGGAGAGTCAGATTGATTATCTAAAAAACATATGTAAATATTTAGTATAGGGGCAGTATAGTATTAATTGCTTGTACTCGTACTCGTATATACAAGTATATATCTTTATTTACCTATATGTATGGAGGTGTTTATAAGCCATTAGAGCCCAATGTGCTCGTTGCGTTTGTTTCACATGAAGGTACTTACAATTCAAATGTGGATGCGTGTTATACAATAGTGTGCTCCTCAACCCTGATTGAAGAACCCGAATTTTAAGAGATCATGCAAAACATGTTCGTGCAAACTGGCTGCCGCACTGGCTGCCCTTGCGGGTACAAACTATATTGAGATCAGCAGCAGCAGCGTCAGCAGCAGCGTCAGCAGCAGTGTCAGCAGCAGTGTCAGCAGCGCTGGCAGCAGCGCTGGCAGCAGCGCTGGCAGCAGCGCGAGCAGCAGCAGTACCAGCAGGAGCGGCAGCAGCAGTAGCAGCAGCAAAAACAGCATAGCAGCAGCATTATAGCACTATAGCATTATAGCAGCAGCAACAACAGCAGCACCAGCAACATCGGCAGCAGCAGCAACAACAACTACAGCAACAACAGCAGCAGCATCATCAGCAGCATGCACTGCGGAAACAACTACTGCAGCACGCAACGCTGATCTAGATATACCTGGCCCCATGGCTCCCACTGTCCATATATTTATATATATATATATCCCCAGTGACTCTGAAAGAGTTTTATGCATGTAAATGCAGGCGTGACAAGTATGAGAAGCACGTGAAGCTTTATTGGATGGAAAAGAAAATGGCGGGTCGTATGCTGACCCTTGGTATAAACGGATCTGCGCAGACGAAACAACAAGTAAACAAAACAAAACTTATATCTCAGGAAGCGCAAGCACGAGATCCTTGAAGAGGAGGATTCCGATGTTGATGGCAGTGATGCAGAGAACGCCTTCTCTTCCAACCTCGAGCTCAGCGGCGATGTCTGGGATCTGGGAGATGATTTCGTGGCCCAAGGCTAGTTTCTTTTGATCACATGCGCGGTTAAAGTGTCATAGGGCCTGGTATAGGATCTCTTGAGGAATGGTTCAATAGTTCTAGTGTATGGGCGGGTACATTTTCGCAGGAAAGGCTACAGCAAGGTCTAATGGGGACCTAATATACATGTGTGGGGCAGTGCTTCGACTTTCAAAGATTGCATTTGTGGCTTCTGGGAGTCACAATTGACTTTAACTGATGAGCTCTTATTGTCTTATGGGGCTTATAAGCGTATACATGTATGTGCCTCAAAGTGAGCAAGCAACTTAAGCTGACATCATCAGCTTGCTTGGTCTGTGGAGTAAACTAGTACCATCTGCTTCCAGGCAGTCCGGAGGATGTGAAGCTGGCAGACCAGAAGTCCAGTATCAAGCGAGACTTGAAGGCTGTGATGTGGCCTGAGATGGATTGTGATGCGTTACCGAGCTCCTATCTCTTGAAAGTCCTGCAAGCGGTGGAGAAGTGGGATGTGAAGCTGGGAGCGGTGATGGATGCGGTGAAAGGGGAGACGTCTGACAAATGTGTCGCGTTACTTGTTCTGTTTTCCAATACCACAATCGGAAGCTAGTATGGCTTGTTCCCCTTTATCTTGTTTGTTTATAAATGAAGATGATTGAGGCTGACGTCCAGGGCCATGGATATGTCGCAAGCCTTGCAAGGGCTCATCAAGGACATGGAGACTATTCAGGCGGCTGGTGTGTCTGCTGGATACACTGATCTGCCCTTCAGCGGAAAGAAGCCTGTGTGGACTCTGCAGTCCTAGTGGTCCTTCCCCAGCTCCCCCTGGAACCTTCTATAAGCTCATGCTATGACCTCCAGGAGTGTACACTGTCATTGTCTATAAATTACCTGTGTCAGCCCGACCCATACCTACACCTACTTAAGCCCTTTGAACTCCCCGATCTGCACTCCCCAATCTTCTATCGCCGAGGCAGCAGAAGGAGTTCAAGAACAAGTTTGACGAAGCCAGGGCCAAGCTCTCCGGCTGAGAACCTGGATTTAGAGAAGGGCTAGCTTTGAATAAGCATTTTAGACTTAGCTTAGTGTGAGGGCTTATTTATGCCGAGGCAAGGGTTTGGGTTTGATGGGTTTATGAATATATAAAAAGTGTATACATATATATATATATATATGGTTATATGGGGCTTGGCAGGGTATATGGGGTTTGCAAGTTTGACCCTGGGTTCCCTGATAAGCTATGCATGTGTACTTATGGCCATGGGCCATGGGGCTCACGAGTGCACAATGCGAACGCCTTGCAGGGTGTTTTCTGTTTGCTGTATATACAGCAGTGCTGCTAACTTTGGGCCTCATACCTGTTTATGCTTGTAGCTGTGATGTGGAGTTATAATAACTTCAAGTCGGAAGCATATGAGATTGTTTTATAATTTGGGCGCGTCCTCTAGGTTATGGGAATCCAAGAAGGTAGCAGGAAGTTGATATACAGTTGGGGCTATATACAAGACTCTACACAAAGGATTTGAGATGCTATCAGGTGTAGACACATGGTCCTGCTTTCAGTAGGCTCACATGGGCCCGCGGGCTCCTATAAGTTCACACCCTTCAACCCCAAATTGCTCACTGGTGCTCAGTAGGGAAAGGAGGAATTAAAGGGCTATAGGCTATAGGGATCATATAGTATCAGGGCCTGAAGTATCTAAAGCAGTATATGCCTCGTATCTATATATTATTGGGATTCCTTTTTCCTACTAAGCCCATAGATAGCATATAATTCTATGTATGGTTGTGTGCCCCAACCTTACTCTTGCAGAAAATGGGTGAGGAGAGCAGCTATATCATTTAGTTCGAGGCTGCTCCGACATAAGCCTGAAAGACCTTTTTATGTTTCGTCCAATGGGTTTGTGCAGGTAGAAATACAGGATTATATGGAACAAGAGGTTTATATCCATATACCCACTTTATGCCAAGAGCATCTGGCGACTGCATGATGTCGTTCCACTTTCGGCACCTCTGGTAGCTATCGCGGCGATGTTTTTAAATTCAACGATCACATATGGGTTTCAGGCTTGGACTTGGGGGTTGGGGCGGGGTAATGTTTTGCAGGTTCAGGTGCAGGTTGTTCGATTATTTTTCGGGCGATAGGTATCCCGTTGCAAGGAACAGGTGTTTGCCCCCCTTGTTCAGGTACGAAGGATTGATTACAGAAGATAGCACATGGAGTTCTATAGGCAGCCCCCTTGCAACTACTTGTTTCTACTAGATGAATTAAGGCCCAGCCACTCAATGAGTGCACACCCTGCTATGGCTCGAAGATTTTTGCCTATAATCTCCCTATAAGGCTATATAAACAAGAATTGGGGGTTACAGGTTAGGGTTTGAATGCGTGGCTGAGCCAACTTCAAAGCTGTCAAGCATACTGAAACGTACATGAACTCTCAGTTTGAGGAAGTATAGTGTGCAGTCCATATACCACGCGCTTGGGCTGTTGAAGTACATGAAGAATATCCACTTATAAGCCACCCCCCAAAAATGTTCCAATAATCTTGCCCTGGCAGCCTGGCAACTGCAGAAAGATAACCCCAACCTCGTAACCCCATAGGGCAGATACACGTATTGTATCGTATATCTCCCTCTTAAATTTAGCCTATAAGTCCGAACCTTGCCAAGTGTGAAACGTCCAGGTGCACAGAATCCATGAGTTTGTGTGGCCGCGCGCAGCCCATCTTGGCGAAGATGAAGGCAGATCGCAAGAAGGCGGCAAAGCTGAAATCCGAGCCTGAGGAGTGAGGATGCTAAGCTAGTGGTTTGGGTTGTTTCGTCCGCGAAGCTGTAATTAAAAGGGGATGGCTGGCCTTTGTGTGTGAAAGTGTATATAGCAACCTCGAGATACACACAAAGTCAGCATGTAGGTCCTCTGCTTTTGATGAATTTGCCATGTGCAAAATTATGAAGCTGCAGCTGTGAAGCATTGCCACAGCCCGCAGCTGCCCGCATGCCTTAGAGCATCGGCGAGCTTTTCACAGAGTGTTGCAGCTTTGATTTTCGTGGAGCTTAAACGCTTTGTTTTCGGCTGCATGCCAATTATCTCTTTGACGAGCGTAAATTTGCGGGATTGCGATTCGCTGGAAACTTGCTAAAACAGTGCCCATGGCAGTGGAACCATGTGCTATAGGAGCAACGCCGAGTCTTGAGACTCCTATTCCAGAGTTGTCACTTGCACAACCACAGGTACAAAGCCGACCCCAATCCTCGAGCGCTTGGTGGATGATATCGCGAATGGAGTGCCATGGTCATTCTGATCCCACGGTATATGCGTATAGATAGAATTTTAGGGACCGAGGATTTAAGTGGGCAGGGTTCAGAGACTGCGGGCCGTTTGTGTGGATTACTGTTGATAATCTAGGTTTAAATATACAAAAATACAGGTTTTTATAGGGGGCCTGGGGCTTCACAACATTTCTCGTTTGAACGCTTGTGGCGGGTCCCGCGGTGTCCAACATTATAAGTTTGGTGTAAGAAAACAACTATGCAGGATGGTTGACAGGTTTAATAGTTGGGGAGGTGATCTTGGACAGGAAGCTTCACAACGATGAGCGGGCCTTGGGTTTGAATAGGCGGTCCAGGGGACTCATAATACTATACAGGTAAATGGGATATTATATTAATTATGTATAGATAAATAGGGGAAGATGTGATCTATGCATGACGTTTGATTGGTACGCTGGCTGTAGGCGGGGCGTTGGACGAACAGCGTCTACATAGGTTCTTGAAGCATACTCG